GAATTAAAAGTCGAAGGGTAATTGATTGATTAATCGATCAATAAATCAATCAATTTATTTAAAATAATATTAACATTTTTATCATTCACCATCCCTCAATGCCATATATTACAGGCACGTGATTATATTAGAAGTTTACCATTTAAAAAACGAGTTCCATTTTCTCAGATGTTTCCTGATGCAAATCCATTGGCTGTAGATATGTTGGAGAAGTTGTTAACATTTAATCCTACAAAGAGAGTTACCGTCGAAGAAGCTTTAACACATCCTTATTTGGAACCTGTAAGCATCAATATAAATGTTATTTTTGTAGTATTTTGTTTATTAAATTATCAATTTTATATAATAATTCCTTCCCGTACACAACCTCCCATATATCTTCTTCCTTCCTTGCACTAATTTAGAACTAGGTAATAATAATAATGTTTGAATATGTTTTCTTCGATCCACACTGTTTAACATCGTCTTGTTGGTTATCTTTTGTCCAATTTTTTTTAATATCTGAATTTGGTGTCAAAGAAAACAATTTTTGTTACTCATTATCATCTAACTTTTTTTAAAAGGCATGGTGATCCTTTACTACTAAAATTAATCACATGATTACGTGATAATCAACCAACTCTGGGCGAACTTACGATTTTTCAGGTAACTTCCATTAAATATCACAGACACTATTACCATGTCTAGCGTCTTGAATTGATTCCAATTTATTTTTTAATTATATATATATATATAAATTTTATTTATAAAATGATGATAAAATAAAAACAAGTCTATGTATATATTTATAAATCTTATTTGTATATAGTTTTTTTATTTTATTAACCTTCACAGTGAAATAAAATGTGATGTTACTCTCAAAAATTATTTTGATCATTTCTTAATAAATAAAAATATATGGTTGATCACTCCACCCTTAAATAATTGAACTGCACTGTCAATCAATGCCTGAAAAGGGTATAATTTAAAGCATTTTGACAACATTTAGGCATTTTGACATTATTTAGACTTTTGACATCAATTTAGACTTTTGACAAGTATTTAGACTTTTGACATCAATTTAGACTTTTGACAAGTATTTAGACTTTTGACATCACTTTAGACTTTTGACATGCCTAAATGTCAAATGACGAAACATTTTGACAAAGCTCAAAACGTTTCAACTAACAACTCTAACTATATATTATATACTATTTAATAAAAATAAAATTTTTAATCCTTCAAATTTTATATTTACATTTGCTGATTAAATTCTAACAATGATGTGTGGAAATAAAAACTCTGGTCCTTGTGCAATCAAGAGTTGTGATAATAATAAAAATCCTAAAGATGTTAACTTCAGAACTATATAACAGACAATGCATTTAAAAAGATAAGAGAACACCAAGACTATGAAAGCATGAATTATTTAAGATTAAATGAACAACTTTGTGCTATTCACTACATGAAGTATGTTGTGTATTATAAACGTAGGAAATTAAATGTTGATGAAATCAATGAAAATTCTTCACAGAAAATGGAGTTCTTTTATCCAGAGAAGATTTTGGTTTATTAATGCAAAAAATTGAAAATTTGGAAATGAAAATTGAAGAAATTGAAAACATGTTTGATGCAAATAATGGTTTTTTAAACAGTCCAGAATAACTTAGAAAAAAGTAATTTGACATTTGCAGATAAAATTGAACTATTAACAAATGGGGGCTGTTCTAGGAAAAAGTGGGTTTCGACCCTCAGATTCAAAAATGAGATATTTATACCAAATT